AGTCAAACTCCTTCAAAACACACAACCCCTCCATCCTTTCTGTCCTTTCTTCCCATATTCTATCCTTGAAGCTGTGAGCAGCTGGGCCTGAGCAGGAAAGTACCATTTGTATTGAAAAGACTTGTTTCCAAACCTCGGTGTCTCCTGCAATCATGAGTGTCGGATGCTGTGGGGAAAACCACAAAAGCCATTATAAACAGACCCTATGATGTCAAAGGAAAAACAGTGGGGGCAGCCACTTTAATAAACAGCCTTCTTTATTACAATAGGCTTGACATCACCTGTTACTTATTGTTTCCATCACTAGAACACAAATCTTTGTGGGACAGGATGAAAAGGACATGTGGACTTTACTGAAGCATTTTAATAACCTTGTATTGACAGTAGATAGAAGCCCTGAACAAGGGCTGGGAGCAGGAAATGATCTTAGTGATTTCATTATGGTTGGAGGGAAAGCCTTCCCAATGACAGCATTGGGCAGATGGTCTTCCACTTGCAAAGAGCCTGCAGGTCAACAGGCCCAATATTGATACAAGGCTAGTAAGTAATTAGCAGGAGCCTAGCAAGCAAGGGAGTTTTCATGAATATATACTGCTGCCTGAGCAGTGGAAGAGGAAGCTGGTATTTAAGGTTCCTTCAAGGTGTCTCATGAGGCAAGGTGTTTAGGGGCTGGAGGAATACACCGAGACCACAGCCAAGGAGCTCTGAAAGTTTTGCTACAAACATGGCTCACGGAGAAATAGAGACCATGACATACTCTCCGGTCTGCCTTGCCTCAAGTCAGTGACCAAGTCCTGTTGATTCTTGATGTACACTTGCTCACATTAGTCCCCTTGTCTGTCACCAAAGCTTCTGGCCTGTGACGAGATGCCAGGCTTCTCATTGCCTTTGGTCAAACCCACTGAAGTGATGTATCACTGAGGACAGGGACTCTTCAGAACCCGAATCAGGGTCTGGTAGCGTCTTTCCTCGCCTGTCTTCCCACTGCCAAGATGGTTTCCTGTGCCTGCAATTCCCTACATCTATCAAGAACGGAAAGTAGGCTGTTATAAGTGAGACACAGAAAAGCAAATACCACAAGCTCTCAAAGGTGACATGGAAGAAAAAATGGTTTCCTAATAAAGGGGATAAGGGTGCCCAGAGGTGGTGGGAGCTGGGTGCAAAGAGTAGAGGGGCTCAGGGATGAGCACAATCGGACAGAGCACACGTCTAACGTTCTGTGACACAGCTGGGTAACTACTTAGCTGCATATTTCAAATTAGCTAACCAAAAGGATTTTTCTTAAATTCTCAAGAAAAAGCAATGATAAACAGGAGACAGAACGATTACTCCGACTGTTGTGTGGCTTATGTAAATGTATTACAACCATGTTGCACCTTATAACTACATATAGGTGTGTGTTAATACTCTGTTTGAGAGAGAATTTTGCTTTACAACCAGGCTCGACTTGAACTCATGACCCTCCTGCCTCAGCCTCCAGAGGGCTGGAACTATAGCTTTGTGCTACAGTTCAGACCAATGGAAAAAAAAAGACTAGGAATGCAAATGACTGTGTAGAACAGGACTCATGCCCAGTGCACTTTACAGCAGGGCCGTCATACTCACAGACTTGAATCAGGAACTACACTGAAGACCTCAGATGGGATATGAAGCCAGAGGGCACCTGAACACCAAGGCAGCATCTCCCTTGGGCTGTTTCAGAAAGCTACTTCATTAGTACTAAGAAGCCACTCCAAAACTCACTGGCTCAAAACAAGCATTTTAGTTCCTACTCATTTGCATGTGAGTCAGGATGGACTACAGCCATGGTTCTCAACCTGTGAGGCATGATCCGTTTGGATGGGGGTTGAATATCAGATATCCTGCATATTACTATTTTCACATAGTAATTCATATCAGTAGCAAAATTACAGTTATGAAGTAGCAATGAAATAATTTTATGGTTGGGGTCACCACAACTTACGGAGCTATATTAAAGGGCTGCAGCGTTAAGAAGGCTGCGAACCAGTGGTCTACAGACTTCTGATCACAGACCGAGCATTAATTTCTTGTCCTGCAGGGTCTAAGAATCACCCAGGACATGTTCTCCTCCCAGTGAATGGCAGGAATGCAGGGGGCTGAATGCGAAGAAGCATCCTATTCTAACATTCTATTGCCTAGTGACCCGGGCCAGCTCAAAGTCAAGGGACAGGAAAGCATGCTTCATTCACCAAGGAGGCATAGCAAGGACACAGATACATAGGTAAGCTGAGTGAAAGGATCTGCCCACAGCTGTCTACCTCGTCTGTCCCCTGTGCAGTCTGCAGCATCTGCCTGCATCTTTATACATCTAGAGTATGAGCCCTCACTGGGACAAGACTTCTGTCTGCTCTGTCCACTGTGGTCTTTTCAGAATGCTGCCTCTGGGTTTTGTTCATCTATCTTCCTAGTGTCAAAACATGCCACAGTGGACAAACAATGGCTGACTGGCTGCCCCAGACCATGTCCCCAGCCTTCTAAGTTTCATGATGTTGAGTCTCGTACCCCCGAGCCAAGCTCATTTTCCAAGCTTTATCAGACATCATTCCCCTTCTGTCAGACATGGTAACAGGGAGGAATGCAGGCAGCTCAGTGACAGGGAAGGGGACGCGGATAGGCAGATTCCTTTAGAAACCCTTCACGATCTAATCCATGCTTACACATAGGCTGCTAGGATCATATGAAAAAGAAGAAGGCTGGTTTTAGGGCCAGGCAAGCCTAGAGTAGATTCCACGGCAGCTATTTGCCAACTGTGTGACGCTAGGCACGTGTGCAGACACTCTGAGTTAGCCTTTTCCCATCTATAAAATGGCGAGTGTTGCCTTCGGAACCATTATGGAATAACATAAATGTGTTTGTACAGTGGATGCTACACGGTAAAGCCTGAACCAATGGGGACCACTTCTATCACGAATCTTAGGTCCTGTGTCTGACACACTCTTCTCCACCCTTACACATATTCTGTATCAGGCTCAATTAAGTTCTGTTTAGTGGATTGTACTTGCAGTATATACTTAGTCCAAAGTAGCCGCTGTTGTTGAGTACGGACTCCTCCAGGTCTGGGTGCAGAGTCACACAGCCTTTCCCAGAACTGTGTTCCTTGCCAGAACCCTGAGGTAGAAACACTCAGGGTGAGCCTGGTTGCTCTGTGGTGCTGCTTGGTCACAGAGGTCCATCCACACCTCTGGCTGTGGAATGCACTAGAAATCTAGATTCCTTACATTTCACAGATGCTCCCTGGGCTGTCCAAGACGAGATCTAAGCGAATTTGACGTCATACAAATTAAACTAAGGCATACTACACGATTTTATCAATGCAGGCTTTGCATTCTATGCAGATGTGCAGCACAGACAGGTTAAAACATGGACCACAGAACAAAAGTAGCAGCATCTCCACAAAGGGTCTGTTGGTTTCCCATGGTTCCCACTACTCTAAGTCGGGCATAGCTGTGGTGAGATTTTGTTTGTGCTGTGTTGACCGAGGGGCAGGCAGACCTCTGCGAATTCAAGGTGTGGTGGCACACACCTCTAATCCCAGCACTTGGGAGGCAGAGGCAGAGGCAGGTGGATCTCTGGGAGTTTGAGGCCAGCCTGGTCTACAGGGACCAGGCGGAACAGAAACCTCAGTCAGCACAATGGCGCCCATGTGGACAACTGCATCCACATAAACCTGAGAGAGTTTGGGAAATAATTCTAGACAAAAGAGAGGGGTGGGAGAGAGTAAAGCACGGCTTATTGATAGCAGCACATTCTCGGATGGACTCTGCTTGTTAGAGGCAAGCACTCTCATTTAAGAGAGGCTTCCTGACTCAGCTTTAGCTGCAAAACCTTGCAGCTTTTAACAAAACACTTAAATGGTGTTGATGAAAAGGTGACTGCGTGCTTTTTGGTGGTGGCAGGGATCTTGAAACGCCATGGAGTGGTGGCATAAACAAGGCTCCCATAGTACTTCTGCCATGAGGCTGGAATCTCAGAAAGCTAAGTAATGGGCTGGATCCAGCCATCAAAGTCATGGCTTTAATCCCAGTCATATGGCTTAGCAAATTAAATACTCACATGGTCACAAAAAGAGAGACATATACAGTAAAGAGAGATTCAAAGATGAAGAAAACCTCTACATGGTTTACAGTGTGTTAAAAATATATGCAGGCTTGGGAGAGAAAAGAAAAAAAGTTAAAGTACTTAAAATAAAAAAGAAAGAGAGTAGTTGGGTGTGGTGGCAAACACTTTAATTCCAACACTTGGGAGACAGGGGCAGGCAGACCTCTGTGTGGTGTAGAAGGTCCTTCTATCTTTGTGTTGCTTTCATTGGTTAATAAAGAAACTGCCTTGACCTAGTTGATAGGGCAGAACTTAGGTAGGCGGGGAAGACAGAACTGAATTCTGGGAGGAAGAAACCAGAGTCAGGACTCTGGGAATTTTACCCGGTAAGCCACTGCCATGTGGCCATATACAGATTAATAGAAATGGGTTAAATTAATATAAGAGTTAGCCAATAAGAAGCTAGAGCTAATGGGCAAGGCAGTAATTTAATTAATACAGTTTCTGTGTGGTTATTTCGGGGCTAAGCAAGCTGGGAAGCCAGGAAGAACAAGTAGCCCCTCCTTGCAACATCCCTGAGTTCAAGGTGTGGTAGCACACACCTTTAATCCCAGCACTTGGGAGACAGAGGCAGATGGATCTCTGTGAGTTCAAGGCCACCTTGGGCTAGGTGAGACTGAACTAGTCTAAAGAGAAACAGAGCTCACACCTTGGATCTCAGCACTTTGGATCACGTCCCTTTAAACCCAGCACTAAGGAGGTGGAGACTGGGGTGACATGGCAGGGTGGAGATGAACATAAGGTGGGAGGAGATGAGAGCTCAGGACATCCAGTCTGATGATCTGTAGGGCAGGATCGCCCCTTTGGTCTGAGGATTCAGTAGAGGTAAGAACTAGTGGCTGGCCGCTCTGCTTCCCTGATCTTTCAACATTAACCCCATATCAGACTCCGGGTTTTTATTAATAAGACCAAATAGAATTCGTGGTACACCTGGCCACAAGGACGATGTCTGACCAGCTTGTAGGTTTGACTAACCCAATGAATAAGCACTGAGAATAGCAATATCTTAAAAACTTTTCATGTTTGAGATTCTGATAGTTTCTTTCCCTACCTACTATACCACAAAACCACTAAAGACTTCCAACAAGGCTGTGCTAGTGCCAAACCACATACTCAGTTTCCATAGTGAGAAGACACCAACAATCCTCAGGGCAAGAGTCTCCATGCAGTTTAGCTGGGATAATGAAGATAATTTTTATACATTTTATAAACACAAATCCTTCAAGGAGTACAAAGAACATCCCCTTAGATTCAAAGGTTCTGAGGAGAACTGGGATGGATTTGTAAAGCTGCCCTTATTATGCACAACTGAGACTTTAAAAAGCCAATGAAGAACTCCAGTTAGTACCTCAAGTGATGCAGACTGAATCCTAAGCACCTGGTTGGCTGTGCCAGTATCCTCATCAGGAAGCCTTGGTTGGAGGGACGAAGCACCAGGGAGACAGACTGCAGAGGCTGTCACATTCCCTCAATCTCATCTACAATTTGCTCCAGTAAATCACGCTCTGAAGCAAAACCATGCATTTCCACCTCCAGCTGCGAACCAGAGTGACTCTCGGGGGAACAAAGGCAAAGTAACTGTGGTGGTTTGAAAGAGAATGCCAGCCAGGTGGTGGTGGCACATACCTTTAATCCTGGCACTTGGGAATGAGTTTGAGGACAGCCTGGTCTACAAAGAAAGTTTCAGGACAGCCAGGACTGTTACACAAAGAAACCCTGTCTCAAAAAACCAAAAAAAAAAGGAAGGAAGGAAGGAAGGAAGGAAGGAAGGAAGGAAGGAAGGAAGGAAGGAAGGAAGGAAAAAGGGAGGAAAGAAGTAAAAAGAAAATGGTCCCCAAAGGGCATGTGTCACTGTGGGGGTGGGCTTTGAGGTCTCACCTATGCTCAAGCTACTCCAGTGTTTCAGTCAACTTCCTGTTGCCTGTAAGATGTAGAACTCTCAGCTCCTTCTCCAGCACCGTGTCTGCCTGCATGCTGCCATGTCCCACCATGACAATGGACTAAACTCTGAACTGTAAGTGAGCCACCACAATAAAATGCTTTCCTTCATAAGAGCTGCCACGGTCATGGTGTCTCTGTACAGCAATAGACACCCAAATTAAGAGAGTAACTACTGCTTCCAAGTTGTCACTAACAGTCTGGGAAGTCTACACAGCCTGTTAAATGCTCACATAACCACTACAGTGTATTAGCAGGTTAGCGCTCTAAGCCGGTTATACTTTACCTCTTACAGAGTGCAGGGAGGATCGGGACATTAAATATAACACAGAACAGGGGTCAGGGGAAGCTGCCAGAACATTCTAGAATGCCTCTTCCTTTTCATCCCTGGATGGAACAGCACAGCCCTCATGGTTATGAGTAAGTAAGTGCAAAGATCTGCACGGTGGGCCACTGGGACTGGGAAAGGGGATGGTGTGCGCTGATGGCTAGTGACCGGCGCAAATGAAAGTGGGGTAAATGGGGAGGAGGGACATCAGGAAGTACACGGTCTGATACAACATTCATCCAAATCTTCCAAATGCCAACTTCAAACCATAGGAAACAGTTTATTCCTTAGAGAGCAGGATTCCAACTTGGGTCTCAAGTCTGAGCCTTCACACTAGGGAAGCTTTCTTCCAGGTCCTCGGCAAGAGCCTTGTCAACCTCGCATAGGACTTTAATGAAGTCTTCCACCTGTGAATCACATGAAGAACCAAGTAACTGTAGTGGAGGAATAGGCAGTTTTAAATGTTGAAATAGGAGTGGTGGGGCTGCGTCCCCAGCACCCCGGCCGCCTGCTAGCTCATGCCCGAAGTAACAACACACAAACTGTATTCATTTAAAGAACTGCTTGACCCATGAACTCTAGCTCTTACAGGCTAATTCTTGCACCTGGACTAGCCCATTTCTAATGATGTGTGTAAGCACCCCAAGGTGCGCTTAATGGGAAGATTCTAGCCTCCGTCCATCCTGGGTCGGAGCTGCCTGGGAGAGCGGAGCCTGGCGTCTCTGCTCCAGAGAGCAGAGCTGTCAAGTCTACCCGGGAGAGCTGAGCATGGCGTCTCTGCTCCAGAGAGCAGAGCTGTCGGGTCTCTCCGGGAGCCTAGCAGAGTCTGACCTCACTTCCTCTTCCACCCAGCATCCTATTCTGTTTACTCCACCCACCTATGTTCTAAGCTATGAGGCCAAGCAGTTGGTTTATTATAATTAACCAAAGACCTTCCTCCATCATTTTCCCTTTTTCTGTTTAAACAAAAAAAAAAGGAAGGCTTTAACTTAACATAGCAAAATTACATATAACAAAACAGTTATCAAATAAAAATTACAATAATCTATATCATAACTAAGGAAAACTATAACTATTTTTTAACTCCATCAAAGACTCCAGAAAGATATACTATTACTAAGCAAACAAGAAATCCAAACCTTTAGAAATGACTGTGAGACACTCTGCTCCTGGCAGCACCAATAGGAGCGGCAGGGCTGCGTCCCCGGCACCCGGCCGCCCACATGGTTAGCTTATGCCCGAAATAATTACACGGAAACTGTATTCTATTAAACACTGCCTGGCCCGGCTAGTTCCAGCTTTTTATTGGCTAGCTCTTACATATTGTTCTAACCCATTTCTAATATTCTATGTAGCCCACGAGCTGGCTTATCAGGGAGGATCTTAACCTGTGTCTGTCTGGAGTGGGAGAACCATGGCGACCCCTCGACTAAGCTTCTTTCTCCCAGCATTCTCTCTGTTTACTCCACCCACCTATGTTCTAACCAATAAAATGGGCCAAGGCAGTTTCTTTATTATAATTAACCAATGTCCTTCCTCCATCATTTAAAGACATTCGTGGTCAACTATGAAAATGCTCCTCCAGAGGCTCTGAAGCCGACAGAAGCATGCAGCAGATTCACAGGGGTCAGCCACCGCACTTCCTGCAGTCACCGGAAATACTCTAGTAGTGACTCTAGAAGTGCGAGCCCTGACCAGCTCCTTCCCTCCTGAGCTATCACAGACCCCAACTGCTTCCCTTTAGGATAGTGCACCGACACTCTATCATAACCCTCTGTGCACCGACACTCTATCATAACCCTCTGTGCACCGACACTCTATCATAGCCCTCTGTGCACCGACACTCCATCATAACCCTCTCTGCTGACAGGTCCCTTACGCTTTCATTTTCCACAGTTCATTTTCCTAAAAACTCTTATTCTGAAATTGTGTTCAATGGTAATAAATAGTGTTGTGTGAAAAATCATAAAAATGTATTCACAAAAATTAGGTTTGGGGGCAGACATGATGGCACATGCTTTTAATCCCAGAACTCAGGAGGCAGAGGCAGGCAGATCTCTATGAGTTCAAGGCTAACCTGGACTATAGAGTTACAATCAGTCTATGCTAAACAGTGCGACCCAATCTCACAAGGTGGTGGTGGGGGAACGGCAGGGAAGAGAGAGAGAGAAGAAAAATTTAGCTCCTGAGTTCAGAACTGGCTATTCTTCTAGAGGACCTGGATGTAATTCCCAGCACCCACATGGCAGCTCCCAACCATCTGTAACTCCAGTTGCAGTGGATCCAATATTCTCTTTTGGCCTTTCTAGCCAACTGTACACATATTCCGCACAGACATATATTAAGGGGAAACACACACACACAAAATCTCAAAAAACTTTAATTAAAAAATTTAGACTTTCACTTACTATACAGGCTGTCTACTTCATAATAGGAAGGAGCACTATAAACCCATGTTGATTCCTTCCTCTTGAGATCATAATTAATCTCAAGGCACAAGGCATTGAATCGTGTAAGGTATACCACCGTTTCTGACAGAATCTCAGCCCCCGTGCATTCTCCCTACTCACCACGGGGCTGTAGAGGGGCAGGAGGCTCTGAAATGCACAGGAACACTTCTCTTTGTTTAACTGGCCCTCCTTCAGTCCCTGAGCCACAGTTTCCTACAACAAACAAAAGAAAACTTAGTATCAGAAAAGGAAAATGTCCAACGCTGCACCTGGCAAACAGATAAACATCAGTATACTCAATCACAACTGGTCCCACCGGCACTTCAAACCCTCAGCTGAGCTGCCATGAAGAGCCTTGTGTACCCCGAACACTACTAACCTCAGTGAAGGATGCCACTCACGGAAGCCTGCCTGCTGGCCCCTCCTGTGCAACCCCCCCCCATCCCAGGCTATCATTTCCAGACTATTCCCAAAGATTACTGTCTATAAACCCACTGGCTGGCTCGTGGCCTCCAACCCTCAACTCAATTCCTTTATGCCTGCTGTGTTTGGAAGAATCTTTCCAAACTGATCTTATCACTTGCTTATAAAAAGAAAGAAAACTTCAGCTGCACCCCAGTTTCCTCAAGATTAAACCCAAATTCCCTGAAGTGGAATCTACGAGTCTCATGGCATGCCATCGGGTCTTTAATCAACACACCTTCCTGCTATTTGCCTGTATCTTAAAGACAAAGGAACAGGCTTGTCTTTTCCTCCCAAACCTAAAGCAATGACGAACAATCGAAAACATATCTGAAAGCAAAACAAAAAAGACGCTGTGGTGGTTTGAGTGGGGCTGGTGCTTGCAGATGCATTATTTAGTCACCAGGAAGTGGCTCTATTTGAAAGGATTAGGAACAGAAGGCATGGCCTTGCTGGAGTAGGTAGCTTTGTTGGGAGTGTGTCACTGTGAGGTTTTTGAGGTTTCAAAAACCCAAGCAAGAGCCAATGTCTCCTCCTCTTTGCAGACCAGGGTGTAGCTCTCAGCTCCTTCTCCAGCACCTCTCCTGCCCGCTCCCATCCATGATGACAATGGACTAATCTCTGAAACTATTAGCAAATCCCGATTAAATGTGTTTTTTTTTTTAAGAGTGGCTTTGGTCATGGCATCTCTTCACAGCAACAGAACAGCAATGGAGACAATAAGTAACCCTGGAGAAATTCATATAAACCATCAAAATCAATTCATCTGTCCAGGGATGGAGCTTAGAGGGGAAGCACCTGCCTAGCATGTGAGAAGCCCTGGGGTGGGCTCTAAGCATCACAAAAATATGAAACTTTAGAAAAATTAGATCTTTATAAAAAGTAAAGACAAATAATATACAAATATATGGAAAGATAATCCAGCTCACTAATAATAAAACATGTAAATCAAAATAGAACACAAATTTTCACCTGTTGAGTTAATATAAAATTACAATATCCATTAATAAAAATCAAACAAAACTAACATTTTCACACATCAGAAATTATCAATATAAATTTTAGTAGTCTGTTGATATGTCTAATGTCATAAACTGTGTGCACACACAAACAAGACCAGTTATTTTAAGACAAAAAATAATAACAAAATTTTCCCAAATTGAGTAAAACAGTCATACTACACATATATACACATATATACGTATATATACATATATACACACATATATACATATATACATATATATAGTGGAAGAGAAGAATCAGTTCTTGCAGTTGTGCTCTGACTTCTACACATGTGCACCTTCCCCCGTGAAAACGAACAGGAGCGGGGCTGAGGCTGCAGCTCAGAGGCACAGCACTTGCCTATCATGTATGAAGCCCAGATCCCAGCATCAGACCGGCAGAGGAGAAGGGAGGAGAAAAGAAATCTTTTTCAATATCATAAAAAACAATAATGGAGCTGAGAACACAAGTGGTCCAGAGTTTGCCCGGCCACTATACCCAGGTCCTCTCTCCATCATGGCTGGGGTCTCAGTTCTGTCACAGCACAGCTGCCTGTGCCTCAGCAGTTTAAAGTTCAGCACGTCTAGTAACCCACGCCTTTTATAAGAAACCACCAATACTTCTTTCCTACCTTTGTTAACTCCTGAAAAATATTAGAAAGGAATTCACATGAAATATCCTTCAGGATCTTCATATGGAACTCATCTTGGGTTGAACCACAGTTTGTAGGCTCCTCTGGGTCAGACTCTGTGGAGTTCTCTGGTTTCTTCTGACAATGTTCCATATTTTGTAACACCCGAATCAGGCTGTCAATTAGAGGAAGAGCCACTGCACCGAATAAGAGAATGACACCAGCCAGGTAAGTATTCCTTCATTTGTTCACTCGTTCATCATCCACTCATCCTGAACCAGTGCCACCTGTGTTTTGGGGACTATAGACAGGTAGGGTGGTTCCTGCTTTGATTCCACGGATGACAGTCTCTAACTTATAAGCTCAAACAGACTGCCTCCCTGCAGCCAAGTTGATTATAGTCAGTGTTGTATCATAGCATCACACAAAACTGGAATAACCCCCAACTCCCCAGAGCTTCTCTGAAAGGCTTGAAGCAGGCAAGCAGAGAGTTAACAGTGAGGAGAGGAGACAGCTAATTGTGACAGGAGTTAACGTGGATGTCCATGTTCTGCCTAAACATACAAACTACATCAAGTTTGGGTGGCAGAGCAGGCAGCAGTATGAACGCCTAGTCCTGCAACAGCAACAAGTGGGATGCTCCTGGTCTCACGAAAAAGCTCCCCATGGGTCTCTAGAAAGATGACACCCACGACAGCATGATGGCCTCGCTGGACAAACTGCATGACGACCGAAAACAAGATAAACATGTCTGCGCTAAGAGAAGGATCCCTCGTTTCTCACGTCAGAGCGAGTCCAAGAAATCTCTGAGGTTTAGCTGACACCATGACACCTCCCCCAACTGCTGACTTAAACTGCCCCTTAGCACGCACTCAGACCCCTCGGGCAGTGCGCTCAAAGCCAGTCGTGTGTGCGTGTCACAGTAAGTGGCAGCTGCTTTACCCATTCACCCTCCCAGTCTCTATAGGGAACAGCCTGGTGTTATGCCCCTGCATTTCTACTGTTCCTCAGCCGCTGCCGCACAGCCTGCCCACTCGACCTTCATCAGCCCCTGGCTGGCTACCACAGCCACACCTACCCAGTCTATCTCCCTCCCAGCAGGTCCAGCCCTCCGCACTCCACTGCCTGGCAGCTGCGCTGCTTTTCTTCCTTTCACTCTTAAGCCACCCTCGCCACACAGAGCCTCAGCCCTGCTCCTCCAGCACAGTGCCCAGTGTTTTCATGTGTGCCTGTCTCCATCGGCCGTGCTTCCTCCCGAGGATTCACACGACGGCCTCCACTAGCTCCCCCAGCCAGTACTCGGGGTTCCTTTGGCCAGTGACATAACCTCTCCAGAAATATAGAATCGACACTCAGAAACAGTGTTTATTTATAAAACAAAACAAAAAGCTTAAAACAGGGAGAGATCAAAACATCCTTGAGCCAGGTGGTGGTGGTGGTGCACGCCTTTAATCCTAGCACTCGGGAGGCAGAGGTTGGCGGATCTGTGTGAGAGCCTGGTCTACAGGAGCTAGTTTCAGGACAGGCTCCAAAGCTACAGAGAAACCCTGTCTCAGGAAAACAAAACAAAACAAAACAAAAACAAAAAAACATCCTTGAGAGGCAAAAACAAGCACCATATGCCCAGTTACACTAAATGGCAAAACTCTAGCGCCATTTTCAACAGTCGGGAAGAAGATAAAGATGTTTCCAGCAGGCACTAAGCAACCCACTTAGATAGGAAAAAGAAGTCAGAGATAGAGAATGACAAAAGTAGATGTGACTTGATAGCAGACAAAGCTAAAGATTATCATGGGAACTACTACCAAACACAGTAAGACAAAAGCTGGAGCGATGGCTCAGCAGTTAAAAGGAACAGCTGCTCTTCCAAAGGACCTTGGTTCAAATCCCACCACCCCTATGTTGGCTCAGAGCCCATTATAATCCCCACCCAGGACATCCAACACCTCTTCTCGTCTCCACAGGCACCAGACATCTGTTGTACATGTGTGCGTGCAGGCAAAACACCCATACACATTAGATAGATAGATAGATAGATAGATAGATAGATAGATAGATAGATAGATAGATGATAGATAGATAGACAGACAGACAGACAGGATTTTAGAACAGTAAGACAGGAATGTGGATATGGCAACAGGATTCCTACCTACAGGAGCAAGGCCCTGAGTCCCACCTCAAGCACAGCGAAAACAAACTACAGGCAAGTCAGTAAAGGTCCCACAGTCAAAGTTAACAATCCACAGCCTCCATAAAGCCTAACAATCATCAGTGAAGAAAGCATGCAACAGAGACTAGGACTTCAAAATTAAAATGTGCAGGAATAAACCTAATAAGAATGCAAGATCTGTACACTAAAAAAAATCTCAAGGCACTTCTGAAACAGACCTGCACAATGCATTCCTAGACACACCACACATTCAACACAATCGCAATGAAAGCATCGGGAGGCACATGGGGCTTTGACCCTTTGACCTCAGGACCCTAATTCAGCACTGAACAGGTCAAACAGTCAGAGATACTGAGACATCAGACTGAATAGAGACTATCCTCACTGGGGACTGAGACAAAAAACCTTACCACCAAAGCACTCTGGGGCTGAGCGTGAGTCCAGTGGAGTCAGCAGAAAGAGGACTTTGGGGAGTATTTCTGATAAAAGTGGGGCAGTTCTTCTGGGCAGAGCCACGCTGTTCAGTGCTGCTTGCTTTTTGGTCCTAGGGACTGAACCAGGGGGAACTCATGCTAAGCAAGCACCCCATTACTGAGCTGTACCCTAAGTCCCCTCCTTGATGCCTTTTAGAAACTTTGTAATATTTTTGTATTAAGCATTGAACATTTTATGTTACTAGGGGAATAAGGGTATTTTCTTTTCAAATGGAGAAAAATTGAAAAAGAAACCCAATGAAGAGCAGACACAGGCCTGGCACTTACGAGCTGTGGGTGCCAGTTCAAGTGGTGGAAGGGAACTGCACTTGCCTTCTTCCCTCTTGGGGTGCTCCTGTGCAGCCCACGAAGCACTGATGGCCAACATCACGGAGAAGACAGAGGCCAGTACTGTTTTCTGCTCCTGCAGTATGATGGGCGGGTCACCAACTTGGCAGAATTCATGGCACACCAGGTCAAAAAGTAAATTCCATGTGTCTTTTGCAGTATCAGGACACTGTACTTAAGAAATATTTTTTACAAATAGTAATTTAAAAATAGCAAACACTTAATGAGCAACGACAGTGTGCCCCAAGAAACCGCCTTACCAATTGCTTGAATCCCATCGTCCGCGGTGGTGAGCAGCTGTAAGATGTGCATGTAAACATCCAGCCCTTCCAGGTTTTCAGACCTAAGCAGACAGAAAGGGCACAGCACTCTTAACTTCAGCGTCAGAGAACAGCAATGCTCACTCGCCTTGCAGGGGTTTGTTACCTCATGCTAACGTGCAGAACGTGAGATGGCCAGCCGAGTAGACTCTGCTTACTAGCACTGACATTAAATGGGAAAACTGAAGAAAAGGAGTTTATGTATTATGAGTGCGTGAGTGAGCGTGAGTATATATGTATGTGAATGCATAGGTGAGTGTTATAGCTGTACATATGTCTGTGTGTGAATTAGTGTGTGTGAATGTGAGTGTGTATGTATGTGTACATGAGTGTGAGTGCATGTATGTGAGTGTGTGTGCAAGTGTGTGTGAGTCTATACATGTATGCTACTGATACTTCTATGGGAGGGACGTGAGGCCTACAGCACAGACACCACGGTCCTGAAGCTCTTTAGAGTTTACAGGTCATCCGAGCTTCCTAGCTGAGAAAGCAGAAACATAAAAACCTAATTCTTTTGCTCAACAGTTTGTATTCTTAGAACGCAAAATACTGTTTTTTTAACCAGTTAAGTGAAAAACATGATCAATTAAATGGCTCAGCTACATTTACTGAAGTATCTATCATTTGGGGGCTCTTACTGCTAGGGGCTGGAAAGACAGACAGTATTGAGATGTTCCACCCACCTTCACAGATCATAACAGTCTGAGAGGAAAGAAGTAAAGAGCCATAACCATAAAACAAAATGAATTCAACACTAGAAGGCCCGGGCACTAAAAGACCATGCAGAAATTTGGTCAGGGAAGAGATCTTGAGAGAAATGGAGTTTCCACAGGAACCTGAAGAGGCAGGTGTTTGTGGCGTTGGATAGACACCTTGAGCAAGGGCTGGGAGACAAGAGGGCCTGGTTCATCTGCAGAATGGAATTTCACATAGAATAAGCAAGAACAAGGATGGATAGGCCTTGTGTGGAGGATTGTGCGCCAGTTTTGTTTGTTTTAAAAACCTGAACTATTTCCTGCGGAAGGTCACTGAAAAGCCGGGAGCACGAAAGCAAGATGGGTGTGCACCACAAAAGCAGCTGCAAGGCTTGGGAGAAGCCAGCCAGAGGACAGGCGGCTCAGAAGGCAGACAGTGTGGCACTTGCCCAAGCAAGGGAGAAGAGGTCTGGCTGTCAGGATGGGATCACAGTAAGAGTTGACTGGCCATGAGGAAGGAGCTGGACAGGGCAGTCAGAAGGGACTTTCCAGTTCTCCCACCTTCTCTAGATGGGACACTGGCAACATCATTCACTGCTGGAAACACTGAAGAGGCAGATACGTGTGTGGCTTAATCTTCATTTGATAAAAGGTATAAAATTAGTAACTTTTAACATAGCCTAATAAGTTCTGAGACTATGCTGTTAACAACTAAGCAGATAATTCAAATGTTAATCTTGCAGTTATCAGTGCTACATTGTTTTAACAACTCATAAACAACCGCCTCTCATGACAAGACATCAAAGCCCCCAAGCTGATCATCTACACAGACTGGTGTGCACACATGAGCTGAACATCTACAGACTGGTGTGCACACAAGCTGATCATCTACACAGACTGGTGTGCACACAAGCTGATCATCTACACAGACTGGTGTGCACACACAAGCTGAACATCTACAGACTGGTGTGCACACAAGCTGATCATCTACACAGACTGGTGTGCACACACGAGCTGAACATCTACAGACTGGTGTGCACACACAAGCTGATCATCTACAGACTGGTGTGTACACACAAGCTGAACATCTACAGACTGGTGTGCACACAAGCTGATCATCTACAGACTGGTGTGCACACACAAGCTGATCTCTACACAGACTGGTGTGCACACACAAGCTGATCATCTACAGACTGGTGTGCACACACAAGCTGATCATCTACAGACTGGTGTGCACACAAGCTGATCATCTACAGACTGGTGTGCACACACAAGCTGATCATCTACAGACTGGTGTGCATACACAAGCTGATCATCTACAGACTGGTGTGCACACAAGCTGATCATCTACAGACTGGTATGCACACACAAGCTGATCATCTACAGACTGGTGTGCACACAAGCTGATCATCTACAGACTGGTGTGCACACACAAGCTGATCATCTACACAGACTGGTGTGTGCACACAAGCTGATCATCTACAGACTGGTGTGCACACACAAGCTGATCTCTACACAGACTGGTGTGCACACACAAGCTGATCTCTACACAGACTGGTGTGCACACACAAGCTGATCATCTACACAGACTGGTGTGCACACACAAGCTGATCTCTACACAGACTGGTGTGCACAAACAAGCTGATCTCTACACAGACTGGTGTGCACACAAGCTGATCATCTACAGACTGGTGTGCACATAAGCTGAACATCTACAGACTGGTGTGCACACAAGGAGGAAACAGGGAGCAAACAAATATGCTCAATGAGTTGTTTCACATTTAATGTAAAATAAAACAAGACAATCTTTTCTCCTTGATTATTAAAAATACGTAAAATTGTTGTCAGTTGCCATAGCAGGCTATGACAAGCCATACTGGAGCAGATGCTCTGAACCTGTACTATTCTTGCCACCACAACCTAAGAGAGACTGGTTGCTTACTGAAACTAAGACTCTCCCATGTAAGGATGTTTCGAAGAACTGAATTTTTCCAGACCATTCTGTATAAGAGTTCACCTACCGTATTTGTCTGGCAGCTTCCAGTATACTGGGTACAAAAGAAAATACTGGCTGCTCTTCAGAGTCCTCCTGGGGTTGGTCCGGAAGCCGGGCAGTCCCATTTCTAATCCACTCCAACATGAGTTTTTCATCCAAGTCAAAGAGCTTGTCCACGACCTCCCCCACCTTCACCAACAAGTCAACTGCAGTCAAGACAGGTGTTCAACTGAGAACCCAAGCGTCTGAAGCCACAAGGGGGAGCCAAACTCCTCAAGCTCCTCCAAGAGCCAAATCTGCCAGGGTGCCACTTCCTCCCAGGTGTCTCCAGGAACCTATTCAAACTGGCTTATCTTCCTTCAGGGCAAAGTGGCCTCTGGGGCAGAAGAGATGGCCCAGTCATTAAGAGCACCCAGGTTTGATTCCCAGCGCCCACACAGGAAATAGCTCACAACTGTCTGGAACTCCAGTCCTAGGGGATCTGACACTCTCTGCTGGCCTCTGTGGGCAGCAGGCACATACCAACATGCAAGAGACACACAGATTTACATGCAGGAAAACACCCATAAATTTAAAAAATCAAAGTATAAAATTTTTAAAATGAAAAGTCTAAAGGAGCTGCCCAGGATGTGCTCCAGTCTTCCTCCCTAGAGTGCACGGAGACTTACCATTTGTTGAACTTGACATGATGAAGCAGACGCTAGCATAAATGGACGGATGTTCCCGGATCCTTTCAACCCAGACACTGGCCACTTCTGCCTGGGAAAGGCAAGTAAGCAACAACCTACATGACAAATGTGAGCTCAATATCTGTGCGGGCAACAACAAGGGCCACCACAGTCAAGAGTGCACTTTGCTTTCCCAGGGCTTCTGATGAGTGGTCTCGAGAAAGGCTTACCTGCTGGTTTCTAGCAGAGTGGGTGGGTCTGAGTCGCACAAACACTGCAGAAGCACCTGCCTGCCGAGACACCGTGAGCCATGAGTATCATTGCAAATAGCCAGTTTTCATTTCATTTTAGACATCTTCTATTGTAAGACAAAGCATAAATGCATTTCATAAATTCTAGAGCAGTGGCTCCCAGCCTTCCTAAGGCTGCAACCCTTTCCTACAGTTCCTCATGTGGGGACCCCCCAGCCATAAAATTGTTTCATCGCCACTTTGTAACTGCAATTTTACTAATGCTATGAATTGTAATGTAAATATCTGGTTTATGACCCCCCACAGAAGGGGTCATGACCTAAAGGTTGAGAAGAACTCCTGTTTCTAAGGTACAGAGCAGAGTTGATCACCTGCAGCTGCCTTTGCCCACCGTGTTCCTCCCCACCTAGAAAAGGTGGCCCTGACTTCCTCAGAGATCACTTCCTTGCTCTGCCTCTATAATTCTGTTAATAGATTTCTGATTTTGCATTTAATTTTATATAAAAGCAGCTATGGTTTTTCCTTAAAATATCCTTTAGTTATCTGTGCATCTTTTTATCTGCTTTATGTGACACATATCACTGTTCACGTGCTCTTCAATTCGTCATGGAACACCTTGTGTGTGAATGTAAGAGAAACAATTCAAGAGGCCCAGGCCCTTGAAGACAGGGATAAACCTTTATGACCCTCCAATAAGAACAATCACTTTAATGTATGCTGGACACAGACTTCTTTAGATCATTAACAGCCATGAACCATCTCCAGGGAAATGAATATGCCCATCAAATTTATCACGTTCTCAGATCTACCATGGTAACCGACCACCTGAGACTCCACTATGAAAAAGCCCTCTGTCCAAAGTTTTCTGGCTTTAAAAAGAACTAGCCTCTAATTAAGTCTGACAGCCTTTTAATCCTAGAGGCGACTCTTTGTCTTCTGGTCCCTAGGCAAGTCCCACTCCCCTATTTAAGTCTCAGTTCTCAGAGCAAAACTGTCCAGCAATTGAGTTTCCCAGACTAGTTCTGAGTCCTTGGATTCTCCATGCTTAAATAGTTCTGGATTCTGACCAGCGGCCCCTAGCTCCAATTTGGGCTCTACATATTCTTTGCCTCATCCCCTTACTCGCTGGGGTAACTCATGCTTTACCGTGGATGCAAAGGCTCAGTCCTAGGTCAAGTCCATAGCTAGTGCAGAAGTCTCAGCCACACCAGCACCCAAGGTGTCCTGAGACAATGAAACAGCACACCCCACACTTCCACCTCTCCTAGGTTCAAGGGTTCCCTTGGAATAGAAACTTAGAACGGCTACTAGGTAGTAGGACTTACCCATGATCTTCGCAGCTGCTGATGGACACACATATCTCCCGGAAACAAGCCATATTCCCTAAAATTCCCACACAAATTTCCTGTCAAACCAAGTAACACAGGTCACAATGGCTGTGAGGTAAAAGCCATGAAGAATAACAACTTGAACAAAAACTTCTACTGAACCAAGTTTGAGGGGAGGAAAGAGGGAGGCAGGATATAGACGTTTACAGCTGGCATCCAGATTTACATACTCAGCTTGTACAGCTCACACAGGTGAGAAGGAAGAGAAGACACAAAGCAGAAGTCATAGATGAAGAAGCGTTATGCGGAGAAGGATCCTTAGCACAGACGACTAATGGAGAGAACGCAGGAACCATGAGGAAGCACAAGAGAAATGGGGCAGAGGAAAAGGATTTGACTGTCATGTCAAAGGGTTTAGACTTAATATGGGATGGTGTCTGGAGCCACGGAGGTTCTCAAAGAGGGAACACAACACACTGAAACATTTGTCCACACATCATTTTACACAGCATTTACAAGATGGGACTGTATTGTCCCCACTTGAACTGAGGAGACTGAAGCCCAGGGAAGTCCAGCAAGCTGCCTGAGATCTTCAACTGAAGGCAGCAGCAACCCAGAGCTGTCATGTTCCAGGGTACTCGCCCAAGAAGACATGGCTGCTATTATCAATGAGGGCTAATGGCAGACATGGAAAAGGAGTGAGATGCTAAAAGGGATGGCAAACAGTCTGTTAGAACGTGAAGAGGGGGTGTAAGGCACAGTTTATAGGTCTGAAGTTGCCATGGTTTCCCAGTCAGAAGTATTAGTCATATCAACAGGAAAAAATAAGATGGAAGGGCATGGTGCATTTACACAGAACAGGGATTCCAAACTTGCTGGGATTCAGCACTCAGAGTTTGTTGACGGTTTTCAAGCCCCATCAACTCCACTGAATCAGAATCTCTAGGCTACATTTAGTCTCAGTAGCTAGTGTTTACCAAGTGCACCAGGAGTTTTTATGATCAGGGTGATAATTACTGAATTACAACAGAGGATGGAGATAGGATTAGAAAATACACAGCTGAGAGCCGGGCGGTGGGTGGCGCACGCCTTTAATCCCAGCACTCGGGAGGCAGAGGCAGGCAGATCGCTGTGAGTTCGAGACCAGCCTGGTCTACAGAGCTAGTTCCAGGACAGGCTCCAAAGCCACAGAGAAACNAAAAAAAAAAAAAAAAAAAAAAAAAAAAGGAAAATACACAGCTGAAAACTCATCAGGAAAGTTGGAAGTGACACCAGATACCAACAGGGCAGTCGGGGCTTGTGCCATTGCAGGACTAGAGCTGTGGCTTAAGCGAGTAAGAAAGGGAGCTGAGCTGGCTGCGGTGGCACTGAGCTGGCTGTGGTGGCACATGCCTGTAACCCCAGCGCTTTGAAGGTTGAGACAGAAACCACAAGTTCAAATCCTCACGCTGAGACTCACTAAGAAAATGGCTGTGAAGAGAACAGGGTGTTCACTCTGGACAGAGTCCAGACTCGGGCACAGGAAGAAATAGGAAGGGACAAAAGCTGAGGAAAGTTAGAGAGGAACTAAAGAGAGCTTTAGTAAAAAGCAGATGGTTCAAACACTGGCAGAAGAGCAAGCGATTCGGGACAGAAAACACGTTCTCTTAGAAGATAGCGAGGGGAGGAGTGAACGTTCGCTGAAGACCAACCTCCTGTGTCAGCTGCGTAGGAGAACCCCTGGTAGACGACTTTGGAAAGTCCTCCAGGACAAAGTTTTTGAAAAGAGTATGGCCCTGATCTAAAGTATTGACATCACCTGGGAACACAGCAGACACCTAGGTCCTGCCCCAGCCTACTGGACCAGATGCTCTTGGGGAGGGCTCGGCACCAGTGATCTGGGCCATGCTGACATTTAGACTAGTGATTCCTCATAAGGCCAAGGATGAGAACCACTGCTGTAGCAGGCTGTGACCAGGACACATTTACAGCCATGTGGCTTAATTCCTGAACTTATCATGACTAATATAAAAAATAGTAAAATCAAGGAGGGAACGCCACAAAATCACCAACACTTTATGTAAATATAAGGACCCAATATGGGCGGAGCATTCCCCTAAATAAAAATCTTAATTCAAGGGGCTGGAGAGATGGCTCAGCAGTCAAGAGCACTGACTGCTCTTGCTGGCACTCACATGGTGGCTCTCAACCATCTATGAGATCTAGTGCCCTCTTCTGGTGTGTGACATGCGGACAAAGCATCCCTAGACAGAAATACATAAACATATTTGTAAAAACCTTAATTCAACATTCAATTTGTAATACACTCTATGGAATTTTCTACTTTATCTCAAAGAAAAAGAAGCAACAACAGGGTTATGCTAGAGCTGGGCATAAGCTTAAACTCCAGCTCCATCTTTACAAGCTGTGTGACTTTGGACATATTATCTTAGTCTGAGACTCAGTTCTTTTATCTATTATGTGTGTCTCAAAGGAGGAGGAAGGCAAACAGTAGAGAGTGGATATTCACAAACTGCCTGTATCATGTGCACTGCAGAGAGACCTAAATGACAGTAACACTCAGGACACTGCACTGCTCCTGTGGTCCCTCCCACCTGCTGTTCTTGGGAGCTTGCTTTCGGCAATGACAAGGCAGAAAAGTGCCGCACTGAGTACAAGAAAGAGAAGGGAGAGAAAGAGAAGGGAAGGCCAGCAAGGGTGACACGACGCAGCCAGCCCTCGCCCGGGAACATATGGAGAGATTTTGGAGCGGAGAGTTCTCACGGCCAGCCTGTGGGCACAGTGAACTGAGAGATAAACAGCAGGTCTAGGCACTGCTTCTTGGCCTGCCACAGCGCAGCAGCCTAGCATGGCTATGTCTATCTGGTTTCCACAGCCGCTAACTCAAATTATTGACTCCCCAAATCTAATCCGAACCTAAAAGTCTACGTATCTAATTATTTCAAGGAGTGCGTTACCCAAGAACGTCCAATAGCATTTGTGCACGAGCAGAACTGTATATACTCACTCTTAATCGGGGACACCTGGATTTGGCCAGCACTCCCATGAATATATCAGGAGCCTTAAATTCTTGTAGAAACAAAGCCACATCCTATAAACAAAAATGATTAGCAATTTAGATGCTGCATACAGATATCCCTAAAAGTTTAATTTCATGTTTACTTCCTTTCATCCATAACGGAAAAATAAAAGATCAAAAAGACAAAAGTAAGTCAAATAGTGGTGGCACATGCCTATAATCCCAGCATTTGGGAGACAGAGGCAGGTGATATCTGTAAATTTGAGGCCTGCCTGGTCTACAGAGTGAGTTCCAGGACAGCCAGAGCTATACAGAGAAACCCTGTCTTGAAGAAGCAAAACAAAACAAAACCCAACCAAACAAAAAGACAAAAGTAACATAAGAGTCTTTGTGGTACCTGGTACCAAGACAGTAGAACGATCCCATAACTGAATATAACCCTAACGGTGACACACCAGAGGCTAGACCTCCTTTTATTCTGCATGATCCTGGAATTCTCATAACTTACCCAAACACGTTTGCTGACTTCCAGATACTAAGCTAGAAGCTGGGGGTGAGAAAGGGGCATGGGGAAAGAGTCAACTCCTAAATCCTACCCTGTAAGAACTTAAAACTGAGATAAATGCTACTGGGTTACATTCGATATCAGGACTTGGGCTTCAATGAGAACAAAAAGAATTCTGATCACAATGTAACTACAACAGTCTGGAACTTTCTCCCCAGAGATTTTCTTCTACCCACATCACCTAAGGGGGCACACCACACAGGTGAGACTAGAGTGGACATGCGGCCACAGAGAGAGGGCTCTCACATAGGAATGTAAGGTACAAAAGCTAAATCTGTTAGCTGTGGGATATGCCTATTAAAAAACACACATCTAAAACTAAACAAATTAAATAAATAAAGTTTTAGTCAATGATGACTAAATGTACGTGTGTATGTACGTATGTCAGTGGTCCTATGAAATTATATTACCTAGTGATGTCATAGCTATCTTAGCTCACATTTATGTTAAATACACCATGAGGCTCATAGGATGAAACTGTATTTGTGTTCAAGGCACGATTTTAACATTAATAGCTCCTGGATCTTCATACCCTGAACCACAAACTGGAGGGGCTACAGTCACTCAATAATGCCTTGCCAGAAGGAATGAGCCTTTTTTCTTTTATCTAAAAAAAAAAAAACCCTATCTTTTTTTATTTTACATACCAATCCCAGTTCCCAGCCCCTCCCCTCCTCCTGTTTTCTTCACTTTTCTCCCCTCCCCAGAGAGGGTAAGGCTTGTTGCTTTGCGGAAGGATCAAAGCCCTCCTTACTATATCTAGGTTGAATCAGGTATGCTTCCAAAGAGAATGGGTTCCAAAAAGCCAGTACAAGCAGTAGAGATAAATCCTGGTGCCACTGCCAGTGGACCCTCAGTCTGCCCCAGCCATACAACTGTCACCCACATTCTGAGGGCCTAGTTTGGTCCCATGCTGGGTTCTTCCCTGTCTGGCTGGATGTAGTGAGCTCCCATTAGCTCAGGTAGACTGTTTGAGTGGGTGTCCCTATCACGGCCGTGACCTCTTTGTTCATATTCTCATTCTGCTCACTCTTCAACTGGACTTTGGGAGCTCAGCCCAGTGCTCTGCTGTGGCTCTCTGCCTGTTTCCATCAGTTGCTGAATGAAGGTTCTGTGGTGACATTTAAGATAGTCATCAATCTGACTGCAGGGCAAGGTCAGTTCAGGCACCCTCTCCATTATTGCTTAGGGTCTTAGCTTGTCATCCTTGTGGATTCCTGGGATTTTTTTCTAGTGCCAACTATGTTCATAGCAGTATTATCTGTAATAGCCAGAACCTGGAAACAAGCTAGATGCCCCTCACCTGAAGAATGGATAAAGAAAATGTGGCACATTTACACATTAGAGTACTACTCAGTGGTAAAAAACAATGACAGCTTGAAATTTGCATGCAAATGGATGGAACTAGACAAAAAACAAAACAAACAAACAAAAAACCATCCTGAGTGAGGTAACTCAAACTCAGAAAGATGAGCATGGCATGTACTCACTCATAAGTGGATACTAGCTGCAAAGCAAAGGATAACGAGCCTATAGTCCATGACCCCAGAGAAGATAAGCAACAAGGAGAGCCCTAAGAGAAACATATATAGATCCCTCTGGGAAGGGGAAGTAGACAATATCTCTTGAGAAAATTGGGAGCATGGGATTGGGGGGGAAGGGAGGGCAGAAGGGGAGGAGGAGAGGAAAAGGGAAGTGGGGAGAAGAACTTGAGGGAATGGGATAGTCAAGATGGGGCAAGGACAGAGACAGAGACAGAGAGTACTGAAAGAATATCTTGATTGAGGGTTAGCAAGAAATCTGGGATGAATCTTTTCAAAAGTCTCCTCACTCTAGAATTTCACTTTTATCCTCATACCTCATCCATGGACATATCCCAGACTCTGCAGATTTCGTTCTCCATTTCCTCAGGGAGCTCCATCTGTTGCTCATCATCATCTGAGCCAGACTTGGCACTTTCAGGTGTGACAATCTTCAGACACAGAGAGAAGAAAAACAAAACAAAACAAAACAAAACACATCAGTTAAAATACTCAGAGGAGTTCTTCAAGTAATATATCACGCAGATGTCTCCAAGAGAGTATCCCTAAAGTACTTCCTCTGGCGAAACAGTTTCTAAAAACTGCCTTGCAGTGCCTTGGATGATCTACAGTATTCTTGGAGGAAACACTGTCTGAAGGCACTGCAAGAGAAAAAACAGGAATGACAATATGAACTTTTGCTTTCAAATGATTTAAGATTAGTGTAGGAAAGTCATGTAAACACAGTCACAATAGAAAAGGCTGACTGTGCAGAGCTGGTGAAAAGAGCGACGGTAGAAAGATGAAGGACTTTGACCTATCCCTGGGAGGAAAAAGACATTTTTTTTTTAAAAAGAGGAAAGTGAAATCTCACGGGAAGGGTAGGACTTGAGCATTCAGAGGTGAGTACAAGAGTTTACAAAAGCATAGTACACGACTGGAGACGGCCACCAGTCTACTGGTCACGGAACATAACGTAGCTATCCTTAAGTATAGGTTAAGAAGTATCGTTAAGTGAGTTGTGGTAAGCATCCGTGGATCCCCAGTTAAGAAGTAGAAAGTGTTCATTTATAGCAACAAAAACACCCTTTTAAAATAATAAAAAGGAAGACTGTTTTGGTCACCGTGTAGAAATTGTCTCTGAAAACAAACCAAAACCAAACCACGGAATTGGCGGCATGGAAGGCAGTACACAGAAAAATCTGCTAGCCTCCTATAAATCAAACACCATTTCAAACACTCTACTATCATCATCATCTCAATCTACACAAAAACCACGTGTACAATAATACTGGTTATCCTGTTTTATAGAAACTGAAAGAAGTCGAGGTTATGGGTTAACGAATCACACTTCCAGCATGGGATGGAGATCAGAGCTGTCTGACTCCAAACTATGCGCTCCACTATGACAAGAGCTCACGAAACAGAAACTGATTTCAGAAGTGACAATGGAGTTGCAGAGCAAAATCCGACTAAAGTATGTGTGTGGTGGTGTTCCGGGAAGAGTTAGGAAACTGGCACCCGGACCCTCCAGCATCCCATCCACTCCCTTGGTTTGGAGGACGCCTGCGTCAGTCTCCCCACCTGGATGAGTCCGCTGAGTACTCCGAAGAGCCAGTGTTTGCTGTAGACCGTGCTCCCAATGCAGTCTCCCCCGGCCAGGTCCTCCTCGTCCTCCTGATTGCAGCTAGGCGGAGGAGGGGACGGGTTACGGTCCATGATGTCGCCCACAAGAGGCGCCGGAAGCCCCGGAGGAGGCGAGAGGATGTGCCAGAGAGCCCGACTGACCCGGCGCTGTTCCCCACAGCGCCCCCTGCTGTCAGGCTCCGGAATGGTCCAGGAACCTGTGGACTAGGTGGGAACTCCCACAAAGTGTCCACATAGGGACCAGCAGCATGAAGCACACACGTCAGTATTCTTTGTCTGGAACGAAGAGGGGTCAGGGAAGAGAGAGAGACAGCCAGGGAGGAGGAGGAGGAGGACGGAGATGGCTTGGAGTGGGACTTTAATACAAGCTGAATCTGTATAAAGAACTGAACATATAAAACAAAACTTTTAAAGGTTTTAGATGTAGAAGAAACTGTAAAGGACCTTTTATGACCTAAGAGAAGGGAGGGTGCTCTTAAAATGCACAAAGCCTAGTGTGAGAAACAGGCACATTTCTCAGACTGCGGAGATGGCTCAGTGGTTAAGGACACTCACTGGTCTTACAGAAGATCTGGTTCTAGTTCCCAGCACACACATGGCAGCCCACAACCCTCTGTAACTCCAGTGCCACGGGATCCAACACCTTCTTCTGCCCTCTTTGGGCACCAGACATGCACAGACACACATACTGGTAAAATACATAAAAATTAATTATTACACTTCTCACTATTGTTCTCCATGAGACAGATGAGATGTAAAAACCTCAGCTGGACATGGTAGCTCACAGCTGTGACCTTAGTACCTGCGAGGCTAAGGAAGGGGATTGTCACAAATTTAAAACAGTCTACACTTCACAACAAGCCCCTGTCTAATGATGACCTGTATATCTTCAAAATGTAAAAAAATTGATCTATAAAAAATGTAGGCTGTGTATCAAAAATAATAAACCTTATAAATAACAAATAAACCAATAAGAAAGAGGCAACTCATTGAGAAAACAGACAGAACATAGAAAGAGCAGTTCACAGAACAGGAAACAAAGCTGAAGGGACTGTTATCAGGATCTCCAAGTCTGACTTATTTAACATGCGTGAAGGTCTGGGGATGGAGTCAGTGGAGGAACACATGTCTGCCAACAATGCCCGAGGCCAGAGGTTCAGTCACCATTTGCAAAGATAAGAAAATCCCATGGAAATGGAAATTTATTAGTATAAGGTATGGCTTTGCATCCACACGGTTGAAATCTGACCACTCCGGGTGTAACGAGGACAGTGGAGAAGGGAGAACTTCCACACTGAGGAGAGACTTGACCCGAGCACGATCACTCTGCAGGACAGGATGACCAAAGCTACTTGATTTCAAGACTGGCGACCTGTTTGGAAGGCGTGAAGTGCGTCCTGCTTGCACATTGTTAAAGATGCAGACAAGACTAGGCCAAAATGAAATATACCAGAGGCCATTAGACAGACCAAATCTTAGCATCGTTTCATGAGACTTTCACTTCCGTGGCACACAGAATGCAGGTGTTTCATAGAGCTTCTGTCTTGCTACATACACACCACACACACACATCACACACTCACACATACATCACACACATCATACCACACACACATCATACCACACACACACCACACACACATCACACACTCACACATACATCACACACATCATACCACACACACATCACACACACATCACACACTCACACATACATCACACACATCATACCACACACACATCACACAAACATCACACACACTGACACACACATCACACACACACACACACACATACACGATAGGAGGAGGGATCTATTTAACAGCTGCCATGCTGAGGTATATCAACCATTAGTAGTCTATGCATTACATCATCTTAAATTTCAGCATCCACTTGTGGGTCTTCACTTTTGTTTGCGTCTTTCTTTGAACAGGGTCAAGTTACACAGCCTAGGAAAGCCTGGTGCTCGCCGTCCTCGTGCCACCACCTCCAGCAGCCAGAATTATAGGCCACTGCCACCGTGCCAGAAAATTCCCTCTGTGGGCCATACTACTACACTGATGTTTGCATACATGCTTTGTGAATTTTCTTTTCTCTTAGAGAATCTCAGGGGCAGGAAATGGGATTGATTGTGACTCTTGTTATGGTATCTTCTGATTTGTCATTATCCAACCAAGCTTTCTTGTCTTTCTCTCACAGAATTACATTCTATAACCAGAAAGTAGCTATTTTATCTTTTTTCGTTTCCCCAGTACCCCTTTCTGTTGACCTTGGATAAACCGTATGTCAATTCTCGCTTCTCCAGTGACTCGTAGGAAGTCAACCATCTCGCCTGCGTTTAAACCACAACCTTGAAGACTTATTTTAATTCACCATGATGACTGCACCGCAGCGTCACGTGACTGGGATTTCCTGGTCACTGACACTGCATTTTCTCTCCCCCTTCCTAATTTAGCTCATTTTGGATAGGCTCTGTAGGGGGGGACAGTGATTTGTTTTTATTCCTTGTTCTTCCTCACACAGATAGCCAGCTGCACTTTCTGACCCCTCCTGGAAGGAGAAGGGGCAGGCAGAAGTGAGATGGGAAAAGGGAGCAAAAGCCGTGCCCATGAAAATTTCAGAAGATGGTTCTGTGTTCTCTGGGCCTAACAGTTATTTTAGCTGACACCCTCCCCTACTTCCGGTGTGTGTGTGTGTGTGTGTGTGTGTGTGTGTGTATGTGTGTATGTGTGAGTGTACACGTGTGGTGGATTTTTCATATGCTAACAACCCCCCTCTGTCCCTGTAGCTATTTCTACGTTTTCAAGATAGGGTTTCTCTGTGGAGACCTGAATGGCCACCCTGTAGACCATTCTCGCCTTGGATACAGAGATCCACCTGCTGCTGCCTCCTGGGGCCTGGGATTAATGTGTGCAGCACCACTGCCCTGCTCAGCCCCGCTTTCCTATGCAACCCAGTATGGCCTGCCAAAAGACAACACTGTCCCAGGGGCCTATGATCTCTGACACCAACCATTAATCAAGAGAATGCCCTACAACACAAGGCAAAGTGACCCGCACTTTAATCCCAGCATTCAGGAGAATATTTGTGAGTTTGGACACCACACTTCTCCCACTTCCTTCACTATACCCCAGTCGTGGGTTTGTTGAGCTCTGTGGTTCATTTCTCACCATTGAAGTTTCAGCCCAACACCAACAGACAGCATGCAGCAGAGCTCACGTGGGCGGTTTCTTTGGGGAGGTGCAGAGGGGGCCTCTGAGATGGGGGGAGGGGAATGAGAGAGACCTGGAAGGGCTTGCCTTTTGTCAGGGGATGTAGCACATGCGCATAGGGACAGTGCCCTACTTAGGGGCTGCAGTAGCTACAGTGTCACATCTTGGCTCCTGCTGCTGCCGCCATCTCCCTCTAGGACCCTGAGAGCAGGCCGGTGTAAATGCCTGAATGCTAACAAGTGTGTATGTGTGGGAATGCGGGATGCTCCTGAGAGCTGGTTTACCTCCAAGCATGGACAAGTGGGGCAGGGCTTGTCCAACATGCGCAAAGCCTCAGCTTCCATCCCCAGTCCTGACAAAGAAGAAAGGAGGAGGAGGAGATGGAAAGACAGACTAGATTTGGGTCAGCAAGATGGGTCTGGGGGTGGAGGTGCTTGGTGCCAAGCCTGGTGACCTGAATCAATCCAGAACTACAAGTTTCTGCTTTCTGAGCCAGGGTCTCATTGTGGCCCAGGATGACTTTTAATTTGCAATCCCACAGTCTCAGCCTCCTAAGTGGCTGGAACAACAGGCCTGCAGCACCAGCCCTGGAGGCTGATGTATTTCTTATAAATTAGTAGTTAAACACACAAGCTGATTAATTTTACATTCAACTTTTAAAATGTTTATTATACATATTGGTCATATATAACACTGGGTAGCATGACATTCTCATATATGTGCACCGTGTTCTTTACTCAACCTTCAGTTCCCTCTCCTGCCTCCCCCACTGGTTCTCAGTTCCCTCTCCTGCCCCCCCCCCCCACACTGGTCCTCACACTTCAGACAGAAGATAGCAGACAGAAATCGCAGATCAAGGCCATGTGCTAACACTGGGACCAGATGCTGGTGGGCCCAGCAGTCTCTGTGGGACCAGATGTTGGTGGGCTCAGTAGTGCTCAGGTGCACCGCAGGCAATTGCAGCGCAGCGGCTGTGAGTTCAGAAAGCAGAGCATGCCAAGGTAACCCGTTCTTCCCTCTCCCCATAGTCAAATGAGATTTTCCAACTTATCCACTATGCGAATACACGGCTCCTACCCCTCGTATACTGCTCTTTTGTCCCTGCCTACTTCATGCACACCGTCCGTCAGTGATGAACTCACAGACACCCCCTCTGCAGCTTTTGAGAGGCCAAAAACAGCAAAGAAGATGAATTAAGAGGCAGGTGAGATGGCTTAGCAGGCAGAGACAAGTGCCACAAACCTGCCAACCTGAGTTTCCAGGGAACAAGATGTAGAATCTAAGAGCTCTGACCCAGCAAGTTGTCCTCTGACCTCCATATTTCTTGCTGTGACCGGATCCTAGTGTGGGCATAAATATGCACACACACACACACAGAGTTTTGTTTTGTTTGGCTTTGTTTCTGTTTCAGGGTTCCTTGAAGCTGTAGCTGTCCTGGAACTCACCTTGTAGACCAGGCTGGCCCCAAACTCACAGAGATCCGCCTGCCTCTGCCTCCCGAGTGCTGGGATTAAAGCGTGCACTACTGGGGAAATTTAGACCTCCCAGTCTCCCTTAGCAGGTGATGCTGAAGGTTGGGGACCTCACTTGGAGCAGCGTGGAGTAGCTGTTATCAGAAGCCTGAGTAGAGCCCCTCTCTCAGCCCACGTGGCCCCTGCTCCTCTCAGGTCTATTCATCCTCTATTCATCCTCTGAACCCTAACCCCCAGATCCTTGGCTCCCCTTTAACAGCGCATTTGCCAGCACTACTACTTTTTTGGGGGGCGGGAGAAGGGGTTAGGAATTGCTCGTCTAGAATTTCATGAGATGTTCTTACAATTCTAAATTTGGAGACCCTGTTTTTGTTTTTATTTTTCAAAAAATCTCACATTTCCTCAAGTAAGTTCAAAAATAGGATTTGGAACTACATGTTCTAGCTCGTTAACATCATAAATTCTATCTTCTCCCTCACCTCTCTCTCCTTCCTCACTTCCTTCCCTCCCTCCTTCCTTCCTTCTTTTCTTCTGAGCCTGGAACTCCCAGACCTTTACCTCTAAAGCGCTGGGATAATAAGTACGTGACCCTCCACCCTTGGCAGTTTTCCTGGCATCTTTTTCCCTCCTTCATGTGCTTGTGTGAAATCTAACTGGCAACTTGTGACGTCACTCAGCCCACGCTCTCATCCTCCTGGCAAGTGGCACCATGAGCCAACACCGTGAAATCCGGTAACCAGTGACTTAGCTCAGCCCACACCGAGCCAGAGTTCCCTGGCACCCGGGGTCTTCTCGGTCCAGCGCGGGCCAGAGGGAAGTAAGGGCTCCCTGCGCGAGCTGCAGGTCACCGGGCTGTGGCGCCCTGGGTCTCGCGGTCACCTCCGCTGACGTCCCGGGTCGCGTGCCCAGGCGGGCAGGGACCGTTAAGCCCTGCTCAGACGCCAGCCTTTCCCGTGGGAGCCGGGCCGCAGCCCTCGAGGCGCTCTTCCTGTCCGCCAAGGGGACCTACTGGACCGGACCGCTAAAGGGAAGCTGTCGGCGGGGCTGTCTCCGAAGACCCCTAAACGGACCCTAGTTTGTGAGTAACCCTTAAAAAACACATTTTTAGGTTGGGCAGGACAGCACACTCCTTTAATCCCAATACTGCAGTTGCAGAGGCAGGAGGATTTCTGAGTTCGAGGCCAGCTTGATCTACATAGGGAGCTCTGGGATAGCTAAAGCTACTCAGTGAGACCCTATCTCAAAAGAATTAGACTCACTCTTTTAATCCCAGCATTCGGAAGGCAGAGGCAGGCTGATTGCTGGGAGTTCGAGGCCAGCCTACTCTATATAGCCAAGTTCTGGGATGGTCGGAGATACATAGAGAGACCCTGTCTCAAAATAATAGATAAATACGTCATAGGAAATTACATGTGATAATAGAAGAAAATATGTAGAATTGATGAGAAACTCATATAGTACATATGAGATGTTAATACATAGTCTTGTGTATGATAATAATCACCTATAATATACTATAACAGAAGAGTCCCTGTTCTCGGTGTTACAGAATAAAAAAGCTATGTGATATAAGTTTCTAAGTTTAGCTGCCTCCCCTTCTGAAACCTAAAAGGAGCAAACATTTAACATGAAGGATTTGGCAGTGGGGTCTTTTTGTTTTGTTTTGTACTCTTGAGACTAAGTTTCACTGCGTAGCCCAAGTTGGCCTTGAACTCTTGAACCTTCTGTCAGCCTCAGGAGTTCTGGTGTGCTGGGCATAAAATCATGCTAAAATCAGCTAAAATCGTGATATCTCTTGAATGTTCATAGTATCTACAGCAGGCACAGACGCTTGCAGCAGACTGTAGCTTCAATTCCAGGAGATCTGACCTCCACAGGTACCTATACTCATGTGCACCCCTCCACACACACAATTTAAAAAAAAAAATCGACCAGGAGGTACCTCACCCAGCAAGTAGCACTCTCTCTTCTCAAAACTTGCTGGATGGCTCCTGCTCTGTTCCCAAAGAGGATGCTGGTTGCACTCAGCCTACAGAAGAGGCCCAGAGGCACTTCCTAGCCAGAGAAAGCCTGGGATCTGCGATCCTGGAACCAGAGCAAGGCACAGCCATTTACAGCCGGGTGTGCAGTAGCCAGTGCTGTTGTCCCTGGCTCTGGGAAGTTGTTAGTGTGTAAAGTGCTGTTAAAACCCTCACTGGAGAGGGCACCCCTCTGAGTGCCAGTCTCAGTGCTGCCTCCTGGCGTTCAGACAGGACACTTACAGCAGCAGGAGCTGGCTAAAGGGATCTGACATGTCTTCTCTGTGTCTTTATTCAAGGTTTCCCGTTCCCACAGGGCTTCTCTTAGCAATTCTCTGGCAATAGCAAGGCACATGTTTGACAGGGCCTTGAAGACAGAAAAGTCTGACGAAGTCCTTGCCTGTTGTCTCAGAGGGGGCGTGGCTGTAGGCTCCCAGGCAGACACTGGGAGGATTATCAAAGGGTTTTCCTGTGCCTCAGCAATTTACTCTAAATCAAGCATCCCCCCCCCAGAAGGCCAGGCAGTGGTGGCGCATGCCTTTAATCCCAGCACTCAGCTGGCAGAGGCAGGCGGATCTCTGTGAGTTTGAGGCCAGTCTGGTTTACAGAGTGAGTTCCAGGACAGCCAGAACTATACCAAGAGATCCTGTCTTAAAAAGTCACATGCGCACACACATGTACACACACATACACACACATGTACACACACACAACACACACTAAAGTAAAATAAATAAATCAAACATCCCCACATCCTAATCCAATCCTGAAAGGAACACTTTCTGTCCCCCTCCCCACACCTCCCACTTCCCTGTGCCTCTCTGGACACTGGTTCTATCTTAAAGTCTGCTGTTTTTGGTGACCTCAAGACCCCTTTAGATGTGGAACCAGTGAAGAGATTCTATGGACCAATCTCCTAAAGCACTTCCCAATGATAAGAAGGAGAAAGAGTCTATGGAGAAAGAACCCACGTACAGGAAGAGGGGCATGAACCCCACATCCGTGTCCCGGGGCTTCAGGACCAGAGAGGTCCGAATTACCAAGATTCCAAACCACTTCCAGGCAAAGAAGACAGAGAACATCCTAATCTTGGTGGCCTTCTCCACTGGACTTGGCAGCGTGTGGCGTTTCCCATACCTGTGCCACCAGAATGGAGGAGGTGAAGCCAGAGACTATGCTGTGAGGTTAAGGAAGGGGTGTTGAGACCTCCCAGGGAGGATTGTGAGGGCTGAGGGGCTCCCAGCTGCATGAGCAAGATCCTACCCCTCCGCAGGCAGCTTTCTACTGATTTACCTCATCCAGCTGCTGCTGGTGGGGATCCCCCTGTTGTACATGGAGAAGATCATTGGACAGTGGCTACGGAAGGACAACATCCAGGCCTGGAAGCAGCTGGCCCCCTGGCTAGGCGGTTTGGGCTACTCCAGCACACTGGTAGGTTGGGGCTGGCAGACCCACAAGTTCCTGGTGCCGTGTCTCCTCCATGTCACCCCTTGGGCCTGGCCTACCTTGTTCTCCTCAGGCTTGTGTGCTGGTGAGCCTGTACAACAGCGCGCTGATCTCCTGGAATGTCATGTACCTGGGCCAGTCCTTTGATTACCCTCCACCCTGGGAACAATGCAAAATGCATTCCCGTGACCATGGGAACATCAGTATGACTAGTAAGGAGAGGGACAGAGAGATGGGTTAGTTGCAAGAGCTATTGGAGGCAGCATGTGAGGTGACCTGTAAGTATCTGAATCTCTGCCCCCTTCTCCCTGCAGAGATCCAGTGCCTTCAGACAGTGCCCTACCAGTATTTCTGGTATCACACAACCCTTGATGCCTCCAGCCAGGTGGAAGAAGGGATTGAGATGCTGGTCCTGAACATCACCCTGTGCCTCTTTGCCACCTGGGTCTTCCTCTATATCATCCTGATTATTAGGATGAGGATCTCAGTGCTTGTAAGTGTCCCCATGGCCTCCTTCCTGCTGAGCCTCAGGACCTCCAACTGTCCAGATGACAGGTTCATGTACACCCACCAGTGTCCCCAGTAAGTGTCCCACGGAAGAGGCCATAGCTACCTCAAGCAAGCTCTTGACGGGACTCTCTGGTCACCATCCCTGACACCCACCTCACTGAGCAGAGACTTGTCCTAGCTCTGCTATCACCTCTACCTCCCTGGGCTTTCTGGTGTGCACGGTGACCCTGCAGAAATGGTTTACTTCCTTGTGCTCCGTCTGTGTCCCTGTGAGCATCTGGATTCCTCATACCAGTTCTTGGCACCGTTCCTACAAACAGAGTCCCTGCTAGGACTAGGTGTTCGGTGTGAAGGGGCCTTTTCCCATTAGTCTTCTCACTGTAACCTGACATGAAGGATTTATTTTGGTCATGGTTTGAGGGTATACAGTGTGGTGAGGAACACATGGCTGGGACTGTGCGCATCCTCAGGTCCCCACAGAACAGGAGGCAGAGGAGCTGTGGTTCTCAGATGGTGTTCTCATCCCTCTTTTATTCCATCTGAGCCTCAGGGATGTTGACACAGACATCAAGGTAGGTCTTTCCCTTTCAGTTAATCCTCTAACAGCCCCACAGACACAACCAGGGGCATGCCTCAACCTCCTGGATTCTTCTAAGTACAATCAGGTAGACAATGAAGATTGGTCTTCACAGGCTGGGGAGAAAGAAGCATGGGCAGACAGTGATGGTGCACGCCTTTAATCCTAGAGTTTGGGAGGCAGAGGCAGGGGACTCTCTGAGTTCGAGGCCAGCCTGGTCTACAGTGTGAGTTCCAGGACAGCAGCTCAAGGGCCCGAGTTTGGTCTCCAGCACCCATGTGTAAGACCAGACAGAAAGGGATCCTTGGAACCCAGAACTGGGGTGGTGGGGACAGGAGGATCCAGGGTCCTAGTCTAATCGGCGTGCTCCAGGGCAGTGAGACCTGTCTCAGGAACAAGGTGGACAGCGAGAAGGAGTGGAATTAGCAGGGCCCGGACTGCGTGTTAGGACGCACAGGTAAAAGGGCAGAAGAGAAACATAAGAGACTGGATCCAGGAACATGATTCTGGGCGGTTTGGGAGTGTGGGTGACATTGGGGTGGGTGCTGGGACGCTCCTTTTGTGTGTGCAGCGGGGTCTGCACAAGCCTGCGGAGGCCAGAGGTCAACCTTTGGTGACTTTCCTTAGGCACTGCCCTCCTTGTTCACCTCCCACTGACCGGTTCACTCTCCAGCCCCCCCCAGCACTTCCCTCCTCCTCACAGCGTCCTGCCCACCCTCAACCTCACTAATGTTTTCTCTGTCTTCCTTCTCCTGTTTCTTGTGACCTACCTGCCTAGATGCTGATTTTCTCCATATTCTTCCCCTACATCCTCCTCTGCTGCTTCCTCATCCGCAGTCTCTTCCTGCCAGGAGCGATGGCTAGCCTCAGGCGCCTGGTGACCATAGAGGCAAGTCCCTCTCTACCTCACTCCCCAGGCTCCCAGGTTCGTTGCTCTGTCGGCCTCACCTCACCTGGGAACCCTCTCCTCCACAGCTCTCTATCTTGTCATCGCTGGACACATGGCGTCAGGCTGGAGGCCATGTGCTCTTCTCCCTCGGCCTTGGCATGGGCACCATCATCACTTTCTCTTCCTACCAGACTAGAGGTGACAACTACATCAAGTTGGCCTTCTTTGTGGCCATGGCCAACCTGGTGACATCATTGCTGAGCACGGCCATCATCTTTCTGGTGCTGGGCTTCTGGACCACAACCAGCGGGCCCAGCTGTGTTGAGAAGTGAGTGGCACAACCTGGCAATGCTAGCAGAAGCTTTCCCTCCTCAGCTCCCCTTCAGCACCACAGTCCTCTCGGTCAGACCCTTCCGTTGAATCCCACTTCACCTCAACCTCAGAGTAAACAACCACTGCCTAACGGAAGAGGACAGTTCTAGAAATTGCAGATGAAGCTAAGGATCACTTTCAAGTTGCTTCTTTAACCCGCGAGGCTGCTGTTACAGCTTGCCATGATGTCACAGCTGCCACGATGCGGGCGGCGGCTGTTGGCATGGGCTGTGTTTGAGTTGGGAAGCACCAGGTGTTTGCGCTTAGCCCAGTCGCTCTGCTTTTTTTTTTTCTAGGTGTAACCAGATAATGGGGTGTGTTTGTTTCTTTTTTTTTTTTTTGTTTTTGTTGTTTGAGACAAGGTCTCACTGTCTATACATGGCTGGCCTGTACTTCACTCTGTAGACCAGGCTGGCTTCACGTTCATAGAGATCCGCCTGTCTCTGCCTCCCAGTGCTGGGATTAAAGGTGTGTGCCAGGACTAGAGAGATTGCTCAATGGTTAAGAACACTGACAGCAGCTAGGTGGTGGTGGCACACTCTGGAGGCCCTGGCAGTTGGTTCTCTGAGTTCGAGGCCAGCCTGATCTACAGAGCGAGTTCCAGGACAGCCAGGCCTACACAAAGAAACCCTGTCTCAAGAAACCAAAACAAACAAGCAAACTTGCTGCTCTTCCATAGGACCCTGGGTTCAGTACTCAGCACCCACATGTTGACTTCCAACCATCTATATAGGTCCAGCCCAGGGATCCAACACCCT